TGCGGTTCGAGTCTCAGACCTGGCGGCTTGTAAAGCACACGAGGTGTGTACGTGTGTGCCCAACATTCTGAGAGGGCAATGCAGGAGAAAGGATTGCAGCACGGCCATTCCCCTGGGGTGCTTTTCTTCTGTCTGTCTCCAGAGAGTGCAGGTGCCCTGTAACAATTTGTTTAAAAAGGCTTTTCAGCGAAGGTGCAGTTCGCTAAGTCATTTACCTGCTATTGGACAACACTAGTAAGAACCCATTAGCTGGGAAGAGAGAAATGACAAGCTCTGCCGTGCAGCCCCTGGGAACAAGCGGCTGTGGATTCCAGGCTTCTTAGTACACGCCGTAACTATGGCGGCCTGTGCCCTGCCCAGCTCCCACACCTCCAGTTTTGGGGGAAGAAGCACTGACCACCTGTGGGGCCCACATGGGACTCCCAGCCGGGCCTAAGGTTATGGGGCAAGAAAGCAGAGTTTTGCTGATGGCAGAGGCGCCGTAGCTCACCCCTTCGCAGCTTCCGCGTGGCCTGGGCAGCCCTTGTCCCTCCCAACGCTCTCCCAGGATGCCTGGGCCTAGCCATGCCTTCCCTGCCCCTACCCGAGCCTGACTTCAGGGAGGAAGAAGAAACTCCACGGGCAGCCCTGGTGTCCGTGGGAAGAGCCTGCGGTCACTGCAAAGCTGCTTCCAGACTGTGTTGACTGAGGAACCAACAGAGAGGCCCCAGCCGGCTGTCCCTGAGCTCTCCCTGTGCACCCTGCCCGAGCCCAGGGCCTTCACCACAAGGCGGGAAGGCTTCCAGCGAGTCTTCTCCAGGCTTCTGGCACACAGACTCTCAAATGGGACTCTCGGAGTCCTTACAGCGTCTCCCTCCAGCTGGCTCGTCTCTAGCCCTAAACTAGCAGAAATTCCTTGAAATTTGGCACGAAAATCTCATTTCCTTCCATTTATTGTAAAAACAAAAACTTCCCCACAAAAAGAAAGCTAGAATTAAATGGGAGTGAAGACGTTCATTGCAGCATTCCCTAGGTAGGAACAAAAAAACCGGGAGACAGTTCCATGTTCAAGGAGAGGAGACCTGAAAGCCCCAGATAGCCCTTGTGCCCAGGGTAAAACTGGGGGAAAGAAAGTTTCCTACACCATAAATATTGAATGCAGATGCTCAATGCAGAATGACATGTATATTATGGTTACAGTCATATACCAGTTTATTCGTGTGTCAGTAAAGAGGGACTGAGGGAAAGAACATAGGAGACCATAGAGGGTTTTCATCTTTTGTTTCTACAGCAAATTTGTCTTAACTTAAATATAGTAATAAAAACTTCTCAATGCTCACGCTGTTGGAATTCCACCTTAAGTGTACTTCTTTATTCAAAGTATTGTAATTAGTAAAAAGCATCAGTGATCTAGAACACTTTTGACATGTACCTGGTATAATTGACCACAATTCCACCTACCCTTGTTCATGTCTTATCAACATTCAAAGGAATATTTTTTTCTCATTGCAGTACTTAGAACTAGGTGAGCCTTCTTAACCCAAGACTAATCCATGTTATTTTAAATTTTAAAACTTGATTGTGGGGTCCAGTCAGTGGTGTGGTGGTTAAGGTGGCTGTTTTCCCACATGGCTGACTGTGGGGTTCAAGTCCTGGACACAACAGCTTTAAAAACACACAGGCAGGTGTGCACGTGTGCCCAACATCCCAAGAGGAGAATGGAGGAGAAGGGAATGCAGCGTGGCCAGCATCCCTGGGGACTGATTTCTCACTTTCTCCCTC